CGAAAAAAAAAAAACAAAAAGAAAAGAAAAAAAAGGAAAATCGTTGCTAAACGGCACCGTATTAGTCGTCCCAGTCCGCCGTCATCTGCAGTAATAGGCTGGTAGTGGTAGTAGCAATAAAAACTCAAACCGCCAAAGCCTGCAACAAAAGGATACTCCTTTTACATGCAACTGCCAGATTGCAGACGTTTCATTTTCTTGGTGTCTATATATGTAGCGCCATCACAAATTCGGGAGCATTCATCCTCGCAAATCTTGTAATTGTATACATTTTGATCTACGCGCACCGCAAATGTCCCCTCTTATGATTTGATTTGGTGTAGAATTTTCTCAATCCACATTCTTGAATTCTTTCCGGCCAGATCGCGGCATCGTCACCCCGAGAAATACACAGAATCAAGGGTTAAACAGGGTTCCGTTGATCTGAAATTGTCGTCAATGTCGTGGGGATTGGGCTGGAAGCGCCCCACCGAAGTCTTCCATCTGACGCTGAGCTACGGCCCGGACGTCGACACCCTCGATGAGGCGTCTCCGACGTCATCGCGATCTTCCTCCGCTGCGTCCCCGTTCTCGGCCGCATCCCCGACGTCCCAGGACGCCGTCGCCGCCGCCGGCAGCAGCAGCAGCATCAGCAATCAAGAGCAGCTAGGGTTTAGGATCGACCTCGATTGGAACGCCGGAGAGGACGAGGATCAGATCGCGTTGAAGCTGCAGTCGCAGGTGATGGTTGCTCTACCCACGCCGCAGGACACCGTGGAGATTGAACTGACGGATAGGGCAAAGATCAGCGAGGGCAGTTCGGTAAATTCAGAAGGCGGAGGAGAAGGTAGTTCTAGTTCGGAGAATGCTGAAGGAGCCGCGGAGGCTGTGGTGGGGGTGGGGATGAGGGTTGTGAAGAGGAGGGAGCCGTTGAAAGGGGTTTTGATGTGGAGGGCGGGGGGCTCCGGACAGCAGAATGATGGTGGGATGGGGGTTTTGGTGAAGCTGATGAAGTTGAATTTCACCAATGGAGTTGCTGATGGTGGGGCAGTGGATTCTGGCTGTGCCGATCATTGGCGAAACGTGACTGTTGTCAGCCTTTGTGGTCTTGGATTGACAGTGAGCACCTTCTTGAATTTCGTGATTACTTTAATTTAACTTACGTAAGTTTGGCATAACAGAGATTAACAATATGAAGTCGTTACCAATTTCTCTGCCGCAGAGAATAATCGAAATCTCACTTTTAGTTTTGGCCCTGGAGGTTATGTTCTTATAGGTTCTGTAATATGTATCTTTCTGTACTTTGCGGCTATAACATTTTTTGTTGGTAATCTGATTTACTTTAGTTTGGATCTCTTCAAGCTCTTCTAAGTTTCTGGTCTTTGTCATGAAGGGAATGGTGGTTCTTGAAGTAATATATACATTCATATACGTTCAATCTATAATGCTTTCAGTACTTTGTTTTCTCTTTTAGAGATTATTTATCATGTTTGTTGCTAAGGATGTGATTCTATGTATTTTTATGGTGGTCGGTGATGTTTTTCTAATTTTTTAACATTGAAGCCAATTGAGTAAGACTTGGGTTCTGATTTCAGATTTTACTTTTATCATTCTTGTTGAGTTTCTTCTCATGAGATCTTTGAATAAAGGAATTTCTAATATTCACTCATGTTTTTATTGTCTGCAGGCATTGCCCATTGAGATAACTCATCTTCCACTTCTTGAAAAACTATACCTTGATAACAATAAGCTATCAGTTTTGCCCCCTGAGCTTGGCGAACTGAAAAACTTAAAAGTTCTTGCAGTAGATTACAACATGCTCGTTTCTGTGCCTGGTAAGATGTGAAGTTTCTTGGGTTACTGGTTTCTTTTTAACATGATGGCTACATGTTGGTTTTCAATGATGCGACTATATCATACTTTCAAAGTTACAGCATTGAATAGAGAAGGGTAACAACGCTGTTTGTGCTAATATGTTCTTTGTATTTGTTGGGAAATAAGCAGTTGAGTTAAGACAGTGTTCGGGTCTTGTTGAGTTGTCTCTGGAACACAACAAGTTAGTCCGTCCGATTTTGGATTTCAGGTCATTTACTTTTCACCTTCAGTTCTGCTTCGCTTCACTTTATATCTATCAATTTTCCTATTGATGAGCGAAATTGTTTTTCCGAAGCTTAATACACATCTTCAGCTTATTGACAGGGCTATGGCAGGATTACACGTATTAAGACTGTTTGGCAATCCTCTTGAATTTCTTCCTGATATATTGCCATTACATCAACTTCGCCATCTGTCCCTTGCAAACATTCGTATTGTGTCAGATGAAAATCTAATATCTGTTAATGTGCAGATTGAGGTGCGTCATGATGTACTCTTGTTATGGTTGTATCGTGCAGTTCAAGCATATAGAACATTTTGAGTTGAAGTTGACCTTTTCCTATGGTGATTGATTCAGATGGAGAATAGTTCTTATTTTGTAGCATCTCGTCATAAACTGAGTGCCTTCTTCTCTCTCATATTCCGATTTTCTTCGTGCCATCACCCTTTGCTGGCATCGGCACTTGCGAAGATAATGCAAGATGAGGGAAACCGTGTTGTTGTGGGTAAAGATGAAAATGCAGTGCGGCAGCTCATTAGTATGATAAGCAGTGAGAATCAGCACGTGGTATGCTTCAGTATGCCAGTTAACTGCCTTTTTATTTCCAGTTTGCTTTTTTAGACTTACTCATGCTTTTCGTTAGGTTGAACAAGCTTGCTCTGCACTCTCGGCCCTAGCTTCTGATGTTTCAGTGGCTATGCAATTGATAAAATCTGACATTATGCAACCAATTGAAAGAGTGTTGAAATCCACAGGAGCAAAAGAAGTGATTTCTGTGTTGCAAGTCGTAGTCAAGTTGGCTTTTACATCTGATATTGTTGCCCAAAAGATGTTGACCAAAGATATATTAAGGTCATTGAAATTGTTGTGCGCCCACCGGGATCCAGAGGCAAGCATCATTACATGTTCTTTTGTGTGCTTTTGTACATTGTGTTTTAGTTTTTCCTGAGATTTATGCTCAATATGAACTTAATTTCTCTAGGTACAAAGATCAGCTTTATGCGCTGTTGGGAATTTTGCTTTCTGCTTGGAAAACCGTCGAGCACTTGTAACATCTGAAAGTCTGCGGGAACTCCTTCTGCGGCTGACAACTGCATCTGAGCCTCGTGTATGTAAAGCTGCAGCTCGGGCTCTGGCAATATTGGGTAGGTTTCTATGAGAAACATGTTATATATGTAAAATGGATCGGAAATACAGTCTCATATGACTTTTGGGCGTAAAATTTTAGGGGAAAATGAGCTTCTTCGCCGTGCCACTAAAGGGAGACAGGTCCCGAAGCGAGGATTGCGCATACTTACTATGGATGGTGGTGGCATGAAAGGATTGGCAACTGTAAAGATTTTAAAAGAAATTGAGAAGGGTACTGGGAAGCATATCCATGAACTCTTCGACCTTATTTGTGGAACATCTACTGGTGGTATGCTTGCTGTTGCTCTTGGAATAAAGTTGATGTCCTTGGAGAAGTGTGAAGAAGTATACAAAGAACTTGGTAAAACATATCTGCTTCAGTGGAGATTTCCAGACCTATCTGTTTATCACTATTCTTCTTCATTTATTTTCTATGATTAATTTTTATCTCTTTTTTCTAGGTAAACTTGTGTTTGCTGAACCTGTTCCTAAGGAAAATGAAGCAGCAACATGGAGAGAAAAGCTGGATCAACTTTACAAGAGTTCATCACAGAGTTTCCGTGTTGTTGTTCATGGATCAAAGGTATGTTGTACTGATCTGCGCTTTACTTCCTTTCTTTCTTCTTTTGTGTTTGTCATCTCATCCTAATGAAACAACACATTAAGTTGAAGGAAAACTGCGTCTGCAAGAAATTTTACTTTATGGAATTGGAATTGGTGGATATTCCAAAGGGTGTACACTTCTTTTTTCTTTCAGTTGATTGTTATTCATTTAAGATCTAGCACCTGTGCTGCTTTCTATCCCAACTATACTTAAAAAGAACCAGTCAGAAACTTTGTGGAAATTTAACATGCATCATGCAGATTAACTTTCACCCTTTTCCAGCACAGTGCAGATCAGTTTGAGAGGCTGCTGAAGGAGATGTGTGCTGATGACGATGGGGATCTCCTAATAGAATCAGCAGTCAAAAAGATCCCCAAGGTTTTTGTTGTGTCTACCTTGGTTAGCGTTGTACCAGCACAGCCATTTATATTTCGAAATTACCAGGTTCAGATTGCTCTCTTATACAATCTTTATGTTGTCGTAATTACTTAATTTTTTTATTATCTTACATTTCTAATTTTCTTTCATTCTGCTGAACTGCAGTACCCTGCAGGAACACCAGAGATTTCTTCTGCAGTTTCTGAGAACTTGACAACTGGCGGGCAAGGTGCTGCAACTACTGGAGCTCAGGTTGGATATAAACGCAACGCCTTTATAGGAAGTTGCAAGCATCAGATATGGCAGGCTATAAGAGCATCATCTGCTGCACCGTACTACTTAGATGATTTCTCTGATGGTACTTCTTATTCTTCTTTCTTCTTCTTCTTCTTCTTTCTTTTTTTTTTTTCTTCTTTTCTTTTTTTGGTGCTGGTGATGTTTTTCTTGCCTTTTTATTCTTGTAGTAGATGGTTCCCTCAGAAATTTCTTCTTACTAAACATTGCTGCAGGTATATATCGCTGGCAAGATGGTGCTATTGTAGCCAACAATCCAACAATTTTTGCTATACGAGAAGCACAACTGTTATGGCCTGATTCTAAAATAGATTGCTTGGTTTCAATTGGTTGTGGGTCTGTTCCAACAAAGGTATCAAAGAATGTCTCCTGATTTTAGTGCATGGCAATGTCTTTCACTTCATCTCTCTCTCTCTCTCTCATTTTGGCCAGTTTTTTATTGTGCTGGCGCTGTTATATTATGATCAGTCCCAGCTATAGATTTACAGTTATGTTGATTAACTTGTTGCTGTTTCTCTGCCCTCCTAGGTCCGAAGGGGTGGTTGGCGTTACTTGGACACTGGGCAAGTGTTGATTGAAAGTGCATGCTCTGTCGACCGTGTGGAGGAAGCTTTAAGTACATTGCTTCCGATGCTTCCAGACGTACACTATTATCGATTTAATCCAGGTGAGGTTTCTCAGAGAAGCATGTTTTATGGGTCTTTTCCAGTGATTGATCATTGGTGTAAAAAAAAAAAAATTTAACCAAAAAATTAGGAAATTCTTTAGATATTAAAAAGATGTTTTTGGGATATTCATCATCCAACTTGTTTGGTGAGAAAAACAAAATGCAGGAAAATGGTTGCTCTGATTTATGGTTATTCTTGAAAATTCCTATGTGACCTAAAGTTAGGTGGAATGTAAAAAGAATAGAAAGAAAGATATGAAGCAGGTGGTTCTTTAATAGAAAGAAAGAAAGCTCTCTCTCATACCCAAAGCAAGATATTGCCAAAAGTTCGTGTACCATTAACAATTATTTACTGCCACTACAGTAGCATCATTACAATTCTTCAATTAAGTTTCACTATGCATGAATACACGAGTAATGTAAATGTATTATTTGTGGATGGAATGTTGAGAGGGGCACTTCGATTCTTGTCTTATCCATCCTTCCATGGTCTAAATCTGTGAGGGAAGCTCTTGATTTCATGTTTATCTACATCTAGGGGATTACTGGATGTACATAAGCATTGATTTGTTTCCCACAATATGTGGTTGCTTGTGCAGTTGATGAACGTTGTGATATGGAGCTGGATGAAACTGACCCAGCAATCTGGTCAAAGTTGGAGGCCGCTACAGATGAGTACATTACGAATAATTCTGTCACTTTCAAGAATCTTGCTGACATATTGCTCGAGAGTTCACATGATGAGAAATCATCTGATGGTTTGAAGTCTCAGCAGATTCTGAGAGGAAGGGGTACTAAAATAAAACCTGTCATTAGTTGCTTCATTTAACTTCTGTTGTTATTCCATATTTTAATTTGAAGTTTTCTTTTTTTCTATTTTTTTTAACCCTTTCAAATGTATCAGGGTCAAATGAGAGTAATGCCACTTTGGGATGGAGACGTGGTGTACTTCTTGTCGAGGCTTCAAATAGTCCAGATTCCGGAAGAGTCTTTCACCACGCACGTGCTCTCGAGACATATTGTGCTAGTAACGGGATAAAGTTATCACTAGCTAACGGGACACCTGGGGCCATTAAAGCAGCTCCAGGATCATCATTGCCGACACCATTCACTTCACCTTTGTTTACCGGAAGCTTCTCGTCGAGTCCCCTAATTTACAGTCCCGACATTGGGCCTCAACGGGTCGGTAAAATTGATTTAGTGCCTCCTTTAAATTTGGACGGGTTCCATTCTGCAAAATCAACTACTTCACCCCCCGAATCACCTTCCAAACGCCGGCAGCTTTCTGTTCCAGTCCTCTCTTTGCATGAGAAAATACAAAATTCACCGCAGGTTGGAGTATGTCATTTGGCACTGCAAAATGATACAAGAGGCTCTATTTTGAGGTATAGTGTGCCCCACCTGTTGCCTCTTCTAATTTATGAGGCCAAAGGTCATCCTTTCTGTTAAAAGAAAAAAGTACTTTTGTGCAAGAAATATCTTACAACAAAATAAATATCTCAAGTTTGGTCTGAATTATACTGGATTTTATTCACTTGAGCTGCATTTGCGATCCTGATTTTCTGGTGAAAACATGATCAAAGGTTAAGACTTTTTATTTAGTTACAGGACCAAATTGCACAACTTGATTTTTACAGCACTGAAAGAAAATTGATATCTATATAGTGTCAGGACTATTCATAAAACAGTGTATTTAACATGTTCATTTTACTACCGTCCGAAAACGACGTAACCAAAATTTACAATTTCGTCAGATTCGGATTTTGTATTTGTTGGTTGCATTCTTTAGTTCCCTTTTCCTTTTCTTTTTCTTGAACAGTTGGCATAATGACGTGTTTGTGGTAGCGGAACCTGGAGAATTAGCTGAAAAGTTTCTGCAGAATGTCAAATACAGCCTGCTATCAATGATGAAGGGCAGGAGGAGGAAGTATGCGTCGGTAATTACCAACATCTCAACGGTTGCTGATCTCGTGTCGTGTAGGCCGTACTTCCAGATTGGTGGTGTTGTCCACAGATACATTGGACGCCAAACGCAGGTATCCACTTGTTGTAATTTGTGAATTCGTGAGTTTTGTGCATATATTGTGTGGAAGTTATTGAATATATTAACTTATATGTGATGTGATATTATGAAGGTCATGGAAGATGATCAAGAAATTGCTGCGTACATGTTCCGCAGAACTGTTCCTTCCATGCACTTGACCCCAGAAGATGTCCGTTGTATGGTATGTCCTTATAATCATCATCATCATCATAATCATCATCATTTTTTTTTTTTTTTTTTTTTTTGGTCGAGATTTTGATTGTTACTGATGTGGCATGAATTTTGGGGTTTGAATCTAGGACTAGTATATTGCTAATTTTGTAGTGGTTGGTTGATGGATACACAGTATATAAAAATCATTTTTTGAGTAATTTTCACAATAATAAAAATACTTACCTAAATTAAAATTGAACTTTTGCGAGTTTTCTCATGTTATATATAGTTGTTAATTGGTTTATATTTCTAGTATCTTCTATAAATCCCTCTTTCTCTTAGAATCATTTACTTGCTGATGTATAAAGCCTATGAAGTTGTTTATCTATTCTATATTGCCGCCGGACTAATTTGACTCGACCCATGTCCTGCAGGTCGGGTCCTGGAGAGATAGGATCATAATCTTCACGGGTATATATGGGCCAACCCGGCCCATGATAAAAGCCTTCCTAGACTCAGGCGCCAAAGCTGTCGTGTGCCCTTCAACCGAACCCGAGGAGCTGCAGCTCACATCCTTCTATGGGCCAGGCGAGTTCAGCAGCTACGAAAACGGGCGGTTTGAGATCGGTGAGGAAGAAGGAGATGAAGAAGAGGACGAGAGTAGGCCCCCAAGCCCAGCCAGCGACTGGGAGGACAGTGAGCCAGAGAAAAATGGGGAGGACTCAATGATGTTCTTCTGGGAAGATGATGAGAAAGAACTGTCTCAGTTCGTGAGCAAATTGTACGATGCCTTGTTTGTGGGTGGTGAGAGAGTGAATGTTGCTTTGAAAAACGCGCTTGCTTCTCACAGGAGTTTAAGGTATACGTGTCATTTCCAGGGTGGTGTTTAGATTTCTTTTTTTTTCATCCGAGAGAAAATAGTGAAGAGAAAAAGGAGAGTTTTGCCCGTTTGAAGTATATATACTAAAATCGATCTGTAATAGTCTGTTATCTTGTATACTTACAATACTGTGAGGATTTTGTATTGAGAGTTTGGAAAAGAGAGGTGGGATATACTGGAAAAAGGTGAAAGTGAATGAAAATTAGGACTTAGTTGCAGAAAGAAAACGGAGAATAGATGAGAATAAATCATGTATGCTGTTATACTGACCAACTTTTATACGGATTACACCAAATTGACGGCCTTTTTTTTTGGAGCTGAGTTTTGCATGCTTTTTGGTATTTTTTTTTTCTGACGTGATGCATGACGCCCAGGCAGGCGTGCCCTCGGCCGTGAGGCTTCGGGCGCAACTTGCGTTTAAAGACTCGATGGTTCTCGGGATTCTGCAATTCACACTGCTTTTTGGTAATTTGATCGTGACCTTTTGGTGCTAAATGCCCTGAATAAACAAGTTTGTTCGAAGGAAAATCACTGTTTCGTGGTGACTTGTGCTAAAAGTGACCAGTGTTAGAAACTCTGGTGCACACTGGCACAAGCATACAAAGCCTGTTCAATTTTTTTAATTAGTATGTATATTCCCCCTTGGAACAAAATGATTTCCATCACTGTTAAAATTGGCTCCCATCAACTGGCAGGCTTGATAAGTTATAATTATAATGTTTGTGTGAACTAAAATATATTATTTGAAGCACTCAAGTAAACTAAAGTGTTTCAATTGATTAATTCTTTGGACCACTCACCCAGAAAGCAATTAATTCACTCAATGATCATCAAAGTAATCTTCATAATCCTCAACCGAATTGCATAAAGGACACTCTAGCTCCGTTTGGGAGGACAAGCTTTTTTTAAAACGCTCAGAACTTTTTTCATAAGCTTCTTTGAATAGCTTTACAAATAAGCTCGTCTAATTTTTTATTTCAACTCGTTTATCAGCTAATTTTGCCAAGTACTTTTATCATATAAACTAGATTTTCAGCCATAAGTCACATAAGTCATAAATTATAAGCTGTAAGCTCGAAAATTACTGATAAACTATAAGCTAGCTTATCAACTAGTTTTACCAAAACATAGACTTAATTATAGCTTGGAAAGTAAATAAAGGATCAACCTTTTTTTCTCTCTCTCTTTTCTGTTTATTTTTCCTTTTTGTAATTTTCAAACTGGTCTAAGGAATCAGCCATAAGTCATAAGTTATAAGCTGTAAGCTCGAAAATTACTGATAAATTATAAGTTAGCTTATCAGCTAGTTTTACCAAAACATAGACTTAATTATAGCTTGGAAAGGAAATAAAGGATCAACCTTTTTTTTCTCTCTTTTCTGTTTATTTTTCCTTTTTATAATTTTCAAACTGGTCTAAGGATTTGTTTAAACTCAACTTCATAATAACCTTTTGTAATTGTATTTAACTAATGTTGACCCTTTAAAAGAACATTATAATTGTTATTATTATCTGTTTTTTTACTCAAATCATCACACTCAACTCAATTTTTATTTTTTTTTTTTTTTTAAAA